AAGAAGGTAGTTATATAGATCAGGCATAACCACGTGACCAGTTACAGAAATGAGGCCTGCAATTGTCATGAATATTTCCTCCTTAGTTTGTTATAAATACATTTGTGTTATGAAAATGTTTCCTTCCTCTATTCTTCCCTTATCATGTAACAGAAGATGTATTGACTTTATATCATAGTATTGTAAGTATTGTTAATTTGATATCTAAGTATTGAAGCTATGGGATATCAACAAGAGTAAATATCACTCAAGGACTTTACCTCTTATTCTGGGGAAGGAGTTAGCATGTTTTTGGTTGTACCTAGTATAGTTGTATCATGTTAGGTGGAATTATAACCTTGTGATTATCTTTATTTGGAAATTAAGTATGGTTTAAGGAGATGTGTATAAGTGACAAGCTGATAAGGGGTGAACTTGGCGATGATGGAAATGATATAAAGAAAGAATCAGAACCATAAACATCCATGATTCTCTCTTCAAACCTAATTATCATAGTGTACGTTGGTGGCCAGTGTAGTATACTTGTGAGTTAGGAACAACTGGACTAAAAAGAGCTTTTTGATCCCCAAGCAGTCTATTAGTAGAGGAGATTCTGTAGACTTGTTTGGGGTGGAAAGATGAGACACTATGAAATTGGATACCAACAGGAGATGTTATATTACAGTGGTTTTTCAATTATGTTCATCAAATGTTAGGGATTGCAGAGGTGACTTGGACTGACCTGCAGTAAGGAGGGTTGACAAGAAAGGTCACAGTGGGGTTCAAGCTTCACAGTTCCATACTCAATGACAACAGTTCCATCTACTTAATATATTAATATTACGGTTCTGTGAAAAATTGTTTGAAAGTTAGCTCCCATTGCTAAAAACTTACAAAAACCACAGCATAGACCAAGATACAGGACTGTGTGATAAAGATGACTACTTATAAATACTATGGGACGTTGGGCAAGAAGTAGTTTCATAAGCTGGAGTGGAGTTAGGGTTAGAAACCCAGTTAGAATATTAGAAGGTTTTCCAAGTTTTAGTCTGATTGCAAAATCCCCAGGGACAAGAGACACTATCACTTTCTAATCTCCTTAGGGTCTCACACAAAGTAGGCATTTAGCAAAAGTCTATCATCTGAGGTATAGAAGAAAATAAGGTTAGATAAGCTAGTGGGACCATATTACAGAGAATTTTGGAAGTTACCAAAAAAACCACAGAAGTAGATAAAGTAAATAAAATTACTGAGAACAAAATGTCATGATATAAGTTTAAGGAAATGACAGGTGGTAAGAATTACAGCAGAAAGACAAGCATTAAGGAACCCAACCAGAAAGCTACTGGTGCTTCGGTCAATTCATAGCCTAAAAAAAGCCCTTACTTTTAGGTATTTGATGTATTTGGGGAAGGCAGTTAAAAGGATTAAACACAATTCTTGGCCTCAAAAAGCTTAAGAATGTAGAAAAGGCTCAGAGAGAACAAGTAGGTGATTTCAAGAGATGGAAGAGCAGCTCTAGAACTTCTAGCTTGAACTTTTCTGAAATACCTTAAGAGCTTAAAAAAAAGTCCTTATGGCCACAGCCAAGTATGAACTTTCAAAAAATAATCCTTTATGACATGTTAGAATAGTGGTATTTTTAAGGAGGGGGTATGAGGAAGCCTTCTGGGGTACTAGAAATGTCTTGATCTAGGTGTTGGGATTAATAGCTGTAGTCATCAAGTTATAAACTATATAATTGCTAAATATTTTTAAAAGCACCTTTTGATGACTATTTGGACAACTCTCTGGGGACTTGTGCTTACAAAATGGATACTCAGACTCATAATTTATATTTAAAATTCTTCCTTGAATATAAAATAAGGAAATTTTTTATACTATAAAGAGCAAATCATATTTACATATACTTGGTTAATGATGTGACACACCAGCTTTTAGTCGTTAAGGTAACTACACATAGGAAGATGATGCTCTGTGACCACAATGGTCTCATCTTGTGCTTTCTTTTCTCATCTCAAATGCAAGCTGTTCTGCTAAGCAGGAAGAAACCAGGTTCTTGGTATCTGTAGCCACCACTCCTGGGACTTGACAAACTACACTACAGTAGGGAGCTCAATCTAACCCTAACCCTAACCCTTTAGAGCAGGTGTTTCCATTTTGTATTATACCAAGGTCATTCAAAAGTAGTACAGAAAGTTCCTTCTTATGCTGAGAACACTCTGAAGTTTTCAACAAATGATTTCTTATTTCTTTACTGAGCGATATCCCTAAATTCTTCAGAAAAAAAGAAACATAATCATTTTACCTTATTGAAAAGAACATAATTAGTAAGAGCTTCTGCAGCATGTTTATCACTTAACCATAATATGATTAACACATGGCAGAAGAAATCTCTTGGGTTTAAAAATAGCTTTATTTAGCATACCAAAAACACGGAAACATAAGAAAGACCCTACCTAGTATACACATAAAATAGTTAAATACCATAATTTAATGTAAACCAAGCATTTTAAAATGTGAAATATTATAATAGAATACATACTATTTACACAGAACCAAGTTAAAGCTACCTCCGCAGTTATTGGATCAGATCATCAATCTTGAAGTCATCATTAGCAATGAAACAAACACATCTCTATTTGTGCTGGTCAACAGGAAAAGAAGAAATCATTTTAATTACTTTACACAAATCCAATTTATTGTGTTAGAGTAGGGAAGCAGAAAGTGTCAGTTCTAGGATTCCAGACACAACTTCTGCATGTGGAGGCTCATAAACCATTCTGTTGAAAGATCACTGAGCCTGTTCTTTTATTTAAATACAAACTGGTTGATTCAATTTAGTCACTGCTTAAGAAAGGTATTAAGTATATTCCACAAAAATAAACCTTTATTAAAAACAATCAAAGGTGAATGTAATATCAACCAGGTAAGAAAGGCAAAAGCATTAAAAAATATGTATTATTCTAGACAAGCCCCTTATTTATAACAAATGCTAAGAAACTCAGTTTATAAAAGCAGATGGGGTAGCAAAAGGGACCTTAAAAATATAAAATCCAAACCAAATTCAAACAAAACAAACAAAGCTAAGATAATGTTTCTTGAAGAAAGCAGTATTTTGTCTATCCTGTCATTATCATGTGAAAGCCACCAGGAGATCTGTGGCTGATTCACTTATTACTATGGAGTAGTGTTTTCATGGACCAACGGTCTGAAAAGTGTAGTCATTGATCAGTTTAAGCATTTGGCTTTTGCTTCAAGGATCAACATTCATTGTGATATTGCAATTTGGGTATCTCTAATAGGCAGCATTAAATGCAATATCAGGGGTCTAAAATGTAAAATAAAACTGCAAGAATACTTAGCAATAGAACATCTTGCTCCTTTGTCTAATCCTATAATTCCCAAACTTTTGGTCTCCAGAAGCCTTTATACTCTTGAAATTTACTAGGGATCTGGATGCCAAAGACCTTTTGTTTATCAGGGTTATATCTATCAATATGTACCATATTAGAAAATATTAAAAGTATTAATTCATTTAAAAATAACCCATTGCATGCTAACATAAATAACATTTTTTATGAAAATAGCTATATTTCCTAAAACAGAAAGATTTGTGGGAAGATGGCATCGTTTTACATTTTCAACTCTTTTTTGAGAGAATTAGAGTGAAAAGACAAATAATGTCTTCATGTTATTATGAAAGTATTTTGATCTCACACACTCCCTGAAAGGCTCTCAAGAAACCCCAGGGGTCCATGGGCCACACTTTAGATTAGGTCTAATCTAAAGCCTGACATTAATGACAAAAATGTCCACGCAAAAGGAGCCTTAATTTCCATTTAAAAATAAACCAAAAAATCCACACAAGTTAGTGGATCAAACACTCCCAACTTCAGTTTTAACTAGAAGCCAAAGATTGATGTGTACTCATGTTAAAACATTTGAATTTGTCATTTCTGAGACCAAGGTCAAGATATAATCAGTCATGTTTAGTCCCCGAAAGCTGTAAAACCTATTAACTAAGCACACACACCTTAGTTCCCTTTCCAACATTTGCTTAATGCTGTTTGTGCTGAGTGGGCTATCACTTTAAGTTGGCACAGCTTTGGTATAGACCAGAGTATGGCAGGGGTTAAATAATAGCCCACACACTCAGATTAGGAATACGTTAGGTATTTACAGAGCAGCCTGCCCTATTTTGCACTATGTGAAAGCTCTGATAAATTTTAGGGAATACAGGGAGAAAATTCTCCCTGAAGCACAATAATAACAACACTACGACCTTACTCTTAGTAAGGTTTACAAATTACTTGCACACAAACCACCTCATTTGAGCCTTTTAAAGCCCAGGATAAGGGCAGGACAAATGATATTATCCCTATTTTAGAGGTGAGGAGTTTGGGGGTCAGATATGGGTCTTCCCCAGGTACCTTGGCAAGTACATGGTAGAGGGGGATTGGAGTTCAGGTCTTCAGATTCCTACTTGAGGATTCCCCCAGAGTTCCTCCTTCCTTTGGTTCCAGGGCAGCATTGGGGGATGGAGATGGAGGCAGCAGGGAATGATACACTTGAAACCTACATTCCTTCTGCCTCAACCATTTTATCTGAGGCTAAGAAAGCTTGGGAGTGGCACAGACATTTCCCTGACCTGATCTAACGAATTTGCCACCTGTGCATACATAATGGGAACTTTATGAAACAACTGTCTTATTTTTTTCTTTGTGAGCCGATTCATGTTGGTAGCTCATTCACAGCCTGTTCCCTCTGTTCCAAAGGAAAAGCAACAACTCTGCAGTTTAAAAAAAATCTGATAAAAATACAAAACGAAATAGCAACAATAATGAGACCGATGTGGGGCTATCACTAGATTTAGTGTGCATGAGGGATAACACAGACTTTGCAATCTTCTTCTACCAATTGGAGGGCAATATAAAAAAAAATCACAGTTCTTAAATGTAATGGAAAATTGCCTTCTAATAATCTTGAGGCAAAGACTTCAGCCTATATAAAAACATTAAGAAAATAATTTCAAAAATTTTATTTAACTAAACTTAGGGGGTTGAAGATTCTGTAGTGATAGGAGGGAGAGTAAACAGTAGAGTAAAAGGCAATGAAACAGCAAGAAGAAAATAATTATTGCCACCTGTGAGCAAAGGCGTACTTGGTATCTATTGCCTGACATTAATACATATATCCACTCTAGAAATTATTGCACTGCCAGAAAATCCTCCGCATCATGATGTTAATACACACAGCGTGAGACATTCAAAGATGCTAATAAAATACTGTTTAATTTTGAAAGTGGGGGGACGGTTAACCAAAAAAAAAAAAAAATCCCTAGTACAGAACAAGCCAAATGCCACTCATGACCGATGATTTTCTTACTGTACACACTAAGCAAGTTATTACTTATCATATGCTCCTGTGCTCGCTCTTTCTCTCTTTCTGAGATGTTTCTAAAACCAAGAATGACTATATGAATTTTTTTCCTTTTAAGGTAGATGAAGAAATAGAAGATTAACAAAAGCCAATAGGAATTAGAAAATATGCTAAATACATCCTGTTTGCAAAATTCTACAGCATGTTGCTGGCTCTTACACAAACTGTTGGTGCCCTTGCTTTTTCGCTTTTGTAAGTAATGCTCTCTTTCTAGGTGATTTAGATAGAAGTTAATGGATTTTTAAGATAGTTGCACATGTACTATGTTGATTCATGCACATGTATATATGCATATACATACATATACACATGTACATCTCATCACATCACATGAAGACCCCCACTAGTATGTTTTTCCCCTCTTCGTATATTTCCTCTAGCAAAAATGAGCATGGAGAATGATCTTATAATAGGAAAAAAAACTAAAGAAAATCAAACCAGAAAGTGTGAAGTGGTATGCTGTAAGACTCCAATCAAATAAGTCGATGCACATTTATGTAGTGGTAAAGTGCTAGAAAGTTCTTTCATTAGTGTTTTAAAAATGATTAGAGTAAAAAGAAGTTTGCAGCTTCATTTGATGGTGGTGACCACAGGCACCATGGCAATGGCACTGGCTGAGTTGGAGTTGACTATGTCCTCATATTCCGGGGGTGGGTCTAAATGAGGTTCTGTTTCACTCCTCCGCAGGTTCACCTGGCCAGTGGCTTCCTCATAGGTTGGTGGGGGATCACAGTTGGACAGGCGAGTGGAGACAGAATCTGAGCGCCCAACTACATATTCCAGAAAGCCTGGAGACAATCCACTGCTATCAAACACTTCGTCTGGAGGGGGAGGTGGAGTGATGATATTCAGGTGCTGAGGGAAAGGAATGTGGCCTTCAGTCACTGTCTGTCTACGAGTTTTGTTTCTTAGGAAGCATCTCCAGATTAGGAAAATGACAAGGAGGATAATGAAGAGGCCAAAGATTAATGGAAAGGTAAGGTAAAATTGAAACCAGTCACTTCCTCTGTTACTCTCTCCTTGTTGCGCTTTTGTATAGGTACTCCAGAACTCCTTCTGAAAATACAAGACAAAATAATTGAAAATTAGTATTATCATAAGATGAGAAATATCAGATGAACAAATGTCTGGCTTCAATGAACATAATGAACAGAAAACCAAAACCAGATTTGTTGGTTCAAAGGAACTACAGCCTATATTCTCCATGACAAGAAATTACAAATACACCATTGTGCTCACTCTGGATTCTCACTCAAATGGTCAGTCAGACAGAACCCAAGAGTCTTTTGCAAGACTTGGAGTCATTCACATTTTCACCTGTGACATTTTATAGGGAAAAATAAGGCATGAAGGTTTTCCCCTTTACCAATTATACCAAATAATTTCCCCTTAAAAATATAAGTCAAATATCACTCTCCATATCCAACTACAGGATTCTCTTCACTGATCCCCATCATTAACAGTATGTGCTAGTTTAGGCCGTTGTAAGCCTCCAGTACTCAAACACTCCATTGATAAACATTTTGTTTTCTAATGGTTCTGTTTGGGGTCCCCTTCCATCAGACATTCCTTCTCAACTCCCTCTCCACCCCCAAAGTTTAGTAAACAGATGTTGACTAAAGGTCAAAATTATTGTTCCTAGGAGACACCTCAAACTAGTGAAGAAACCCCTATTAGGTTATTTCTAAACCTGGAACTAATCCCAACTGAAAAGTAGTCAAGTCGTTCAAGTCTTTAAAGTTTGTAGGGGGAGATAAAAGATAAAAAGGAAACTTGACCCAATTACTATTATAGTTATGAGCCTTGGGCAAGTTACTCCTTTAAGCCTTATTTTCTTCGCCTGTAAAATGGGATAATACGAATCTACCTTATAGGCTGTCTGAGCAATAAATGAGATAGTGTATATAACAATAAGTCAGTTCCTGGCATATAAAAGCTCAATGAATAGTAGTGATTATAGTTAATTTTTATATATTATAATCAAGTCTCTGCTTCAAAATAACTGATTAATCTATCCCATACCTTGGTGCAAAGACCACCCTCAACTACAGTGCTATTGACTCCATTTTTTAAAGTTTAAACTTAGTCAATAAGTGCTTTTCTCACAGTCATATTTGTAGGTATTACAGGTCACTGATATTTATTAAATATCTGGTATCAAGGGAAGGATCCCTTGGAATCCAAATTGGTAAAAGTGGAGTTAGGGAGGGGAGTTAGGTTATTACCCAAATGGACAAATAGAGGAAGTTGGACTACATATACCTGGGATTTTGAACTCAGATGTCCCATGGGGGCGTGGCATTTATATAAAACACCATATCCTGTCCAAAGTAAAACTCAGGGCAACAAAGCTGCTTGTTTTGTAGTCCTATATTTTATTCACTTAGTCATACAGCCTTTTAAACTACTGGGAATGACAATGACCTAAAATCATCAATGTTCTATGCCTGAACTAAATCTTCTCTAGGATACATTATGACTCCAACATTCTGTGATTCTAAGATGAATTTGGACTTGTTATAAGAAGAATTGTATGATTTACCAAAGGTTGTGTGCATATTCACAGTGAATTTCACCTAAAGAAAGCAGATGAAACTATGCAATTTTCCCATAATATTCTAGAAGAAAAGATGTATATAAAACATAATATTAAAATAAGCCAAAAGTAGAAAAAGTATATCCCAGATATAGTATTCATTTTTGGACAATACCAAAACCTGAAATCATCAAATCGCTCATTTGCTTTACTATTAATAAAAATTTAATCACAGGTGAAAACTCACAAAATACAAATATATGAAGCTTTTTAAACAATAAACGTGCTTCTAAAATTATACGCTATTAACTTCTTTTATAATTGTCCTTTTAAAGATTGACAACTTTATTACTGATTATAAATTGATATACGTTAATTATATAAAATGTCACTAATGCAAAAACAGCGAAAAAAGAAAAATCGTTTGGTATTCTAAAACATATAAGCAGTATTAACATTTTGGTTTGTACCATTTAAAAAATGCTTCACATCTCTTTCTACCATACTTTTACTAATCATAATTGCACCCTTACACAAATATACATTCTTTACAAATTTAGAATCAAACTGTACTAAGTAGAATAAAAGTGTTAATCATGTAGTTATGGATACCTATCGAGTATCTGATCCCTGGTCAATTTTCCTTTATCTATAGGCGACTCTTTACCCTCTCTGCTCCTGGTCTTTCAGATCACTACCTCCATTTCCTCCTCCATCCATCTTGTCCAGGAATGCCAATAAATATAAATGATTTCAAATAATTATATAACGCTAACCTTAGATGAACACAATAAAAAGTAGCTTTTATATTTTCCACATTAACTTGGGATAATCAAACATTAATAATGCCCATGAAATGAAACTTTTTTGCATGCTTGCTTAAATAATTGAATTTCTCATGTTTCTTTGGCAT